ATCCTGGATACTCGTGACGCGGCCCCAGTTCTCACTCCCATTGGGTGTCAGGTGCTAGAGAAGCCAATCAGCATCACCTCCGTTCCCAGTTCAAGTCTCGGCGGACTCTCCAGGACTCAGACTCCCCAGACCTGGAGGATGCTGCTCACGGGGCCCCCAACCCTCCTCCTGCTGCTCTGGGGGGCCCTGGCCCTGACCCAGACCTGGGCGGGTGAGTGCGGGGTCGGGAGGGAACGGCTTCTACGGGGGCGCAGGACCCTGAGTTGGGCGCGTCTCCACCCCGCCCCCCCCCCCCGCCCAGACCCCCAAACCCGGACCCCATCCTGTCCTACAGACCTCGGCCCCGAACGGCGCCGGGAGGAGGGTCGCGGGTGTCAGCCCCTCCCTCCGGCCCGCAGGCCCCCACTCCCTGAGACATTTCCTCACCGCTGAGTCCCGGCCTGGACATCGCAAGCCCCGCTTCGTGGTCGTCGGCTACGTGGACGACACGCAGTTCGTGCGGTTCGACAGCGACTCCGCGAGCCCGAGGATGGAGCCGCGGGCGCCGTGGATGGAGCGGGAGGAGCCGGGCTACTGGGACGTGAACACGCGGAACGCCGAGGTCGCCGCACAGAGTTTCCGACTGAACCTGGACATCCTGCGCGGCTACTACAACCAGAGCCGGGACGGTGAGCCACGGGGCCCGGTCACCACCCCCATCCCCACGGCCGGACCGGGGTCGCCCTGAGTGTCCGGGTCCGAGCTTCACCCTGAGGCCGCGTGACCCTCCTGGTCCCCCACCCGCAGGACCTGGTTGCACTTTCAGTGTCGGTTTCATCCTGAGGGTTGGATGGAGTCCGGGATGGGTGGGCGGGACCTGACCTCGAGGGGCGCGGGTCAGGGTCTCACACCTTCCAGTTGATGTTTGGCTGCGAAATGGGACCCGACGGGCGCCTCGTCCGCGGTTATGACCAGTCCGCCTACGACGGCACCGACTACCTCGCCCTGAACGAGGACCTGCGCTCCTGGACCGCATCCAACACCGTGGCTCAGATCACCCGGCGCAAGTGGGAGGCGGAAGGTGTAGCGGAGGAAAGGAGACACTACCTGCAGGGGGAGTGCCTGGAGTGCTCAGCAGATACCTGGCGATGGGGAAGGA